GAGAGTAGGCATTAGATTGAACGACAATGAAATGAAAATATTGAGAACTAAAGTGGGATTTAAATGAGGGGGATGATACGAAGGAAAGAGTAAGAATAAGAAATAACAAAAAATGTTAGAATGAATGATACAGCAAGAATGAAAATGAAGTGGAGAAAGAGTGAGAAAGGAACAGGGACACAAGAATAAAGTTTCGAATGAAAAAGAAAACAATACAGCAAGAACAAAAAAGAAGAGGAGAAAGAGTGCGAAAGGAACAAGAACACAAGAATAAAGTTTCAAATGAAAAGAAAACAGGTAGGATATTTCATTCATCATATTTTTCAGCTGTCCCTGCACCCTCCAAGGAATTAAAAGGAGATGAAGATTCGTCTGGTGAAGAGAACAGTGATGAGGAAGAAGCAGGTGGAGAGACAGCAGAAGTTCAACCTCCATCTACCGTAAGTAGTTTCAAGTATTTCTATGTGGTCTACGTTTTGTCATTTAATGATGCCTATTTATATTCTTAAGATTTGTTCATCTCTTATTTCAGCCAACATTTTATCAAGAAAATCCTCCGAGTGAACAGAAGCCAGCAGAAGAAGAACATTGATGATCTTTAGACACCAATATGCCGAGATAGATTGTTTTACATTCCAATTCTACCACTATTTGTCATTTGTATTCTATTGTCCTAACACATCCTGACCCGTCAATGATGAAAAAAGAAAAGAAAAGAAAAAGGGAGTGGGTAAGACAACTAGCAAAAGAACACTCGCATTTAATGTCCCTTTCCATTTCTCTGCCTTTCGATAATTCTTCATATATTTGTCAACATAACTACTCCTCTATGGGATTATTGTAATTAAATTCTAATGATTTAATTGATATCCATTATCAAATAGCAAATTATTAATGGCATTTAAAAGTTGTAATTCAAGGCTGTACGCAATGTGCTCCTATTGCCTGAGATGGTACATGATAATTTCAGAACTTGCCATCTTATTAAATTTTAACAATATTCAAAACTAGCGTCATTTTAGTTATGAAGGAATGAAAGTTCCTTTAGATAGTATATGATGCTTATAAAAATCCTCTTCGCAGTCTGATGCAGCAAAAGGATGTATCAGCATTAATTTGCGATATTAATGAAAGATGCTATAATTTGTTGCTGTTGAATATAGAAAATGACAGACAGTTATTTCATTTGTTTACCACTGTAGCATTTGCAATATGACCCTAATTTTTTGGGTGCATGTGACGTTGTAGCCGCCATTTTGGTTGACTTTGACAAAATCTTTGGTCTTGGTGTCTTGTCAACCAACATGGAGGCCACGTCTTTTGGCCTTTTATTGTCATGGGAAGGGATGCATTCCACCAATATATCAACCATTCATGTTTATAATGCATCTTAAGCCGTTTTTGGATTGTAAAGCATATATTACATGTATGCATGTGATAGGGGTTTGACTAATGGTCATGGGATGTGATGAAACTATAAATCTACTAATCTACTCCAAGCACTTGGATGAGATCAAGCATACAATTTACAAATGTTAAAGTTGTCAAGGGCAATGCCAATAGTTGACCCCAATAATGCTAAATGCATTTTACAACAGGTGATGTTATTGAATAATGTCGTTGACCTTGACAGTTTTAATGGCAAAGGATTCCTCAGTTGAGTGTTTTGCTCCCTGCCCTCATGTAAGCCAATAGATGCGAGGTTAACATGAAAAATACAAAAGAAATCGGACATTTTCTCGATGGAATTTGTGTCATCTCTTTTGTATTTCCATGTTAGCCTCGTATACATAAGATCATTTTGAGAAGAGTCCATTAGTTCGTTCTTTTGCATTTACATCCATTGCATGTCCTGTACCATTCCTCTTCAAATGATCCAAGGGATTCGATAACTAGGTTTTGCTTTATGTAAAAGTTAATTCAATTTCTCATCTGATGCATACCGCTGTTTTTGATGAGCACAGATTCGGCCTCGTTTATATATAAGTTAGCTATTCATAGTTACCATTAAAAGTTTATGGGATCCAAAGCGGTACGCGATGAATGTGATTTGTTTATTTTTTATTTTTATTTTTGGCCCTGTTCATATATAGTTTACGATTTTGTAAAAAAAGGCATTAAATTATTGCTTAAATAAAAGTTCTTATCATCATTAGAATTAGGGCATTTTTGTTTTTGTAGTTCTGCCTAGATTTACATCAAAAACCAATGAGCCATTCCGAGGTTGAGAGAAGAACTGGGTCGAGTTGGCATTGCAGTGTATTGTGGGACTGTCGTAGAGGACGAAATACAAGCCATCTTGAAAATATGTAACCCTAAAACTAAAAACCGCCGTTTTTCAATCAAACACTGAACGGAATTCTTCTATCAACCGTAATCTATTCTTATCGATCTCGCTGTACCGTTGTATAAGAGTACCTACCATAAAAGCGCGACAAAAAAAAGGGGGGGGGGGGGGGGGGGCTGGTGGGTGTGAAAAAAATAAACAGATCGAACAACCGCAGGTCGGGGGAGTACAGCGAGGACACTACAATGTTTGAAGGCCACTGAATACTGTACGGCGTTGGCGGGCTGAAAGTGAAATGTACTCATACATTTTCACTGGTGAGACCGCTGGCTGACAGTATTTTTATTTACGTGAAGTCGCGAAACACTAATTGAATTCCTGTAGGAAAAGGTAGCCTACTTGAGTTTCTGTCACCCGCAAAAGGAGCCCCTTCGTTTTTTCGAAAAAAATAGTAGTTGACTTGCGTTAAATCTAAGCGGTCAGAACATCGTTATATTCGTATTGAAAAGAGCTATATATCAAATGCTTTAAAAAAAGGCGAGAAAGTTCATATTGTTCAGTTCCAGGTGATTTTCACTTCTATCAGGCCGTACGAGGCATATTAAACGGTTTTGCCCATTTCAGACCACCTGTTATTCCCTAGCTTGCTCATTTCTTTCATTTAACGGTTTCTCATGAGAAGACACATGAATATGGATACAACTCAAACGAAACATCGTAATCTCAAGAGAATGACAGGTGGTCTGAAATGAGAAAACATTATGCCCAAGCCAATTAAATAGGTCCATAGCCAAATTCAGTTAGCGAAAACTTTTTTTGTTTTTACAGTTTCCTAATTCCAAGTTTTCGGCTCGATAAAAGTATTTCACTAGAAAACTAAAGAAAATAAAATTTATGCTTGGAAAGATGCACCAAATGTCATTGCTCGCCTAGATTTTCAATCTCCTGATTAGAATTCGATTGTGAAATGTGAGCTGACATTTGTACGTGTCGTGATGATTGCAGGTGTATTTACGAAGAAACATTGCAATTTTCTATTCGGTGATAAATTAGCAAGTTGAGTTTTCAATTGCTTTTAGTATCTCGATTCCGTTCCATAGGGTTAGCAGCAGACAGAGCGGAAAAACCGGACGCATGCGCATTAGAGACTATTTTCATGAGCAATCCAATATGGCGGACGAGAGGCGGTAAAAATCTGCCTCTTGGAAAATTGCTCTGAAAACGGACAAAAACGCAGCAATGACACTCAAAACTTTAGAAAAYAACTCATAATTCGTCAGAGCCCTTGATCTTGGTAGTTTTTTTGAAGCTTTTTGTCGACTTGACGCCAAAATAAGGAATTCTACGACTTGATTCAGAAGGACTTCGATCGCATCTCCTAGTGTTCGATGACAAGTGGAAAATCTTCAAATATAAGGACGGACATGGATATATAAGC